GTTCTCCAAGCTTTCACAGGCCTTAGAGCAGTGATGGCGAACCTTTTAGAGACCGAGTGCTCAAACTGCAACCCAAAACCCACTTATTTATCGCAAAGTGCAAACACTGCAATAAAACCTGAAAACTGAGGGGGGGGTTAGAAAAAACAACTCATAGCCAGTCCAAGCAAATATATATCTATATCCTTGGCAGCACACTGATTGGCCATGCGAAAGCTTGGATGAGCCGCAGCTAATGAGTTGTGGCTTGTGATGTCATCACCTGGTGCCACTAATCCTTTCCGAGCATGCGCATGGCCCCTGTGTGTGCTGTTATCCGATGCTCAGCTGCTGAGGCGATGCTGGGGCGACTGGGCTTGCATGCCCACTATGGCACACATGCCATAGGTTCGCCACCACTGCCTTAGAGAGGGCAAAAGGAGCTGATGTGCTGGGAGGGGAGAAGGCTGAGGCTGTGGACTTATCTTAATCCCAGTCAGTGTCCAAGCCTTCTTCCTTCTCTGTCCTAAGCACTAAATCTAGATGACTGTAAAGGGCAGTTTAGAGAAAATGCGCAGGGCAAGATGTGGGGCAACAGAGAAGCTGACATGCATCTGATGCAGGGGCTATAGGGCCATGCCCTCAGTTGCCAAAAAAATAAGGGGAATTTGGAGTGGTGCCAGGACAAAAGGAGCGAAAGCACTGCCATTATATGGCTACTAAAAGCCTACCACTGTAAGAACAGCTGATTTGATCAGGAATCCATGTTGCAAACCCTACTACACTTTTGAGATGTTAATGTTGGCCTCTCCTGAAGGTTCTTTGTTTTTGGTTTTATTTTATTTTTGGCATTGTGTTCAACCTTATTGTTTTACCCTATTGTGCCTCTACCACACTGTGATCGCCCACCTCCCCTCCAAACTGTATGAAACTGACTCTATCTGGGTAGTCCCTTTAGAGACTGCATACAAGCTGTATGTATTTCCTGTATGTCTGAATAAACTGTAAATGTGCTTTTGATTGCACACCCCGTGGACCCTCTGTTGATTTTTTTCTTTACTTTTTTCTCAACAACCTGTTTTGTTCTCCTGTCAGTGGCTATCCTAAAAACAAGGTTTCCCTTAGGACCCTGGCTGCTCAGAGGAAAACAACCCGTGTTTTCCTACAAAGGAAGTAGGGAAAGTTAGCAAGGGAGGGAAAGCAATGGAAAGAGTTGGCACGAGGAGGTAGCAATTGACTTCTAACCCTTAGGACCCCTTCAGTGCAGCTGCCCACTTATCCATCAAATTAAAAAATCTCTGGAGTCATTCAGAGCAAATTGCTCCCTTTCAAGGAAAGAGTCCCCCTGAAGTGTTGGGCTGGAGTAGCTAAGTAAGGTAGATGAATTAAAGTTTCAAGGGGTGTTTCCTCAGGAGGTAAAGTTCTATTTGGTTACACAAAATGCAAAGACTCAGGCTCAGGGTCTCAATAAACTGGTTTTTGAGGGACTCCCACATGACCTTGCCCCCCCTCCAGCCCTGCCCCCTTACCCCAGTGGTCCTGATTCAGATTGGTAGCCTGCACGCTTACACTAAGGTAAACAAGATTGTGGCAATTAGCTGCATGCCACATGTTCAGCACAGCGCGCCGTTCACACCTTTGTCACACCTTTGTGCCAGAGCAGAAGCTTTACAAGTGGGAGCTCTCAGGTTCAGCCACTGGCATTTCTGGTGAAAACGGCCAGGTGGCAGGTGATGACAAGGGGTGCTGCCAGCCAGCATCAGCCCACAAGGACATAGGATCAGACCGGGGTCGATCTTGTTCAGCATTGTGCCCACACAGTGGCCAGGCAAGCTGCCTGTGGGAACTCACAAACAGGACAGGAGCACAACAGCACCCTCCTGCCCATGCTCCCCAGCAACTGGCACACACAGGCAAATGGCCTTGGTGGTCATCAAAACTAGTATGTGAATGTGTCCAACACCTTTTTGAAGCCATCCTAACAGAAAGCAATCACTACATGTTGAGGAAGTGAATTCCACAGTTTTCTGTGGAATTCCTGTTGGGTTCTAGTGTTAAGGCGGGGGCGGGGGGATTTATCTCCCTATCCACTTTTTCCACACTTTTGCACACCTCTGTCATGCCTCTCCTTACTCACCTTCATTCTAGGTTAAGCAATCATGGGTGTTGTAAGCTTCTCCAGTCCCTTTGATCACCTTAATTGCCTTTCTCTGCAATTTTCTACTCTGCAATATCCATTTAGGCATAGTGACCAGAACTGTGCACAGTATTCCAGGTGTGATTTCACCATCAGTTTGCCTAAGCAGAGTATAATCTCGACAATTTCATTTTCAATTCCTTTCCTAATTAAGACTAATGTGGAGTTTGTCTTTTTCACAGCAGCTGCATGCTGGATCTACATAAGATAATAAACTATATTAAGCCAAATGGACTAACAGACAGACCTGATCATCCAAAGTTTACCCTTAGGTTCCAAAAATGAACTTTCCAATTTGATTTTCATGTTGCATGTTGCATGGCATGTGGACCATACCCAGAGCTAGAGCAGATGGTATGCAATTTATTTACAAAAGTTGCTTCATGCCTGGTGTTCATAATTCAATAGGAGGCTAGCTTATCTGCTATGTTATCTGATAATGACTGGAATCATCACAAAGAACTTCCCATTTCCAGGATAACATTGTCAATTATTCTTTGTCTGTGTTTGGTATGGCAGGATTTGGTAGGATTTTTACCTGGCTTTTCCCCTCGCTCCCAGTAATGCTGGCATAGACAGGTTGAATAATATTCTGCTGTGACCATTGCTAATATTTTCAGAGCATATTTGGCTGGCTGCAGATTAATGCAGAGGTCTAGGCAGGGGCGGGCTGCCTATTGAGGTGAGCACTTTCACCTCATTTTGGAGTTTGTTTTCCTGCTGGAGTTTCTCATGTTTCCTTGAGAAGCCGCACAGAACTACTTCCCATTCAGTTGAGCATGAGGTGGTGGTTCCTCCATTGAGGGTAAAGTAATTGCTCAGTGCAGAAGTCGTTTCCATTTCAAACTTTTCATCATTCAGGAGGGAGAGACTGAGTCTCCACACACTTCAGAGTTCACAGTGCACTCCTAAATCCAGTGTGGTGTAGTGGTTAAGAGCATGGGACTGGGACTCAGACGATCTGGGTTCTAGTCCCCGCTCGGCCATGGAGCCAACTGGGTGACTTTGGGCCAGTCACAGACTCTCAGCCCAACCTACCTCACAGGGTTGTTGTTGTGGGGATAAGATGGAGGAGGAGAATGATGTAAGCTGCCTTGAGCCCTTTGCAGGAAAAAGGCAGGATATAAATAAATAAATAAATCCAGATTGAGGAGGACTGGGGCATGGTCTGAGAAGGCTATTACATCTATATAGCCGGCCTCAATGTATTGAAGGATATTTATTTGTTTGTTTGTTTATTTGAGTATTTCTAACCCCTCCAGTCACTAGACATCTCTGGACAGCTTGCAAATGGGAGGAGATGAGAAAATAATCTAGATGAACACAGTTTTGGTGGACTGATAATAACAAAGGCTCATTCTCTCTCACTAGGGTTTAGTATGTGCCATACTTCTAATGTCTTAATGTTTCACAAGGGCCGCAAGAGAGGACCGGACGGAGGAAGAGAGTTTGCGTGGGGGATTTTTCTATCTAGACCTGGGTCTAGACTTTCATTAAAATCTCCTTCAAGTATCAGCTGGTCATAAGGTTATGGAGGACATATGGTAAAAACATTTGTGGAATACTGAGGGCACTTACCCTTCTTTGACTTGAAGCAATTCTGGGGGCACAAGACTTACCTAGATTTGAGGAGGTAATTGGAATCTTAAGTTTCGTAAGAGTTGCAACTTTTAGAAGTACGTGGTCTGAGTATAGGTGGAAGCACAGCTTAAAGACTCCAACAAAGAGCCAAAGCGCCACTGCTCCATCAGATTTCCATGGAAACAGCACCCATTTATGCTTTCCACTGTTTTCCTCTGCCTCAGTCTGCAGTGTGTTGTTCTTTTCCAAGACACAGTATGACTCTGTGGCTAGAAGAAGGGAATCCAGATCAGTTATCTTTTTCCAGCCTTCTTAGTTTCTGAGGAGGCAAACAGTGAAACATCCTGGGCTGACAGCAGTTCAGGTCCTGCCTCAGGACAACTCAGGTTCAGGGAGACACAGAAAGGTGAACTAGGAAACCCAATAATTTCATCATGTGTTCTTTTATTTATACTCTACCAACAAATTATGTCAATCTGGATACTGTCCCAGAGCAACCAAACTAATAAGAAACCCTACAACAATACTGTTGTGTGTGCTGTTTGATTTATACAACATTAGCAACAATACCAGCAAACAACAATATTTTAATGCCATACTCATTTTTTTGTTAGCATCTCCTGAAACTGACCTTCTGTTTTCTATCAACACCATAGTGTTCCAACCAAGATTTCTTTTGCACAGAAAAATGATTCCACTCCAGGTTGTTCTCTGTGTACTATATCTTCACCTCATTGTTTCCTAAATATCTTATACTTTCCTCTCCTCTGTTTTAGAAAAGCTTCCAGCACTCATTTTACATTCCTGAAGAATAAAGCAGCAACTCTTCCTCTAGAATAAAGGTGTAGAACCATTTTTCAACCTGAAGGCCACACGCCTTTGTAGCTGAGCTTCCAAAGGCTTGGTGTTTTTGGTTTTGGCCAAAAGCAAAGAGAATGCAGGGCCATACTGTACCCTTCTTCTGCATACATGTATTTGTATATACATATAACTCACACAAATCAATACATTCACACCAACACTGTCCCCAGGGCAAGTGGTCCTCCATGCCTGCTCTAAGAAAAGGAAATCATGCAAAGAAATACTAAGAGGGCCTTCTTAAAGTGCTTGTACACACAGATCAAATTCTTTACTGTCAGTGTCATACTTTTCCAGCTGCTGCAACCTCTGCCTTCTAGCCTAGCCTATTTAACAGTGTTGAGGTGATACCCCCAACACATCCGTATAACACACGCATTACCTCTCATTGACACTTGCCAAGCCGTAATCGCAGCACGCCCTGACTGTGCATGCTAAGATAATGTGAAAATTCACAGGGCATGCTGTGCACGCCAGGAATGGGTAATGCTTTTTCATAGTAGTGAAAAGGAATGGACCGCTTGTCCAAGTCATATGGGAAAGGCCAAAAACCATAGAGGGTGATGTGCTGGCAGAACTCTAAAGCCACACTGACAAACACGAAACCAGACGACAAACGCAGTGACAGCAATTTTCCTTCCTCCCAGTATTTACTCAGGTAAGCCAGGTAGTGTGGGTTCAAGATGAAGGCTTGCTGCAACAAGCTAAACTTCTCCATGGTGTGTAAAGCACGGAAGACAACATCAGTGTGGCTCAAATGGGTGAAGGCTGGAATGAGGAACACAGCCTTCCCGTATGGGTGAAGAGCATCTACAAAAAGCTTCCGTCGAGTCTGCAAGTTTTTGAATCTGAGGAGGCAGAAAAGGAAATTACATGCAAGGGGTGTCTTATAGGCTGGAGCTAGTTAGCTGCTCTACCCCATGAGGCACAGACTAGGAAGACCTGAGTACTGTAACACCTTTGAGGCATGCTGTGCTGGTTTGTTTTTTGTTTAAGTTTGTTTTAATAGTGCATTTGTTTCTTAGTGGACACAGGGAAAAACCCTCATCTGAATTTACTTCCGAAAATACACATGTCCAATGAGATTCTAGCCACCTGTGAAAAAAAGCTATATGTATGAATGTTGTTGTTGTGCGATGATTATTTGCTTTACTCTATGAGTCTATAACGTATCTGTATAGCCTTCAGGTCAAATGGCTGTTGGCCTGGGAAACCTCCCCTTCTGATTTGCTGGGGCTTCTAGCTAGACAGCAAAGAGCAGTTGGCAAATGCCAGTTGGCAATTTCAGTTGCTTGGGGCGTTGGTGGCTTGTCTATCAGGGAGGTCAGTTGATGTGCAGAGTGTGCTAGAAGGCCCGAGATGGAATAGCTAAAGGCTGCATATTAAGCTTCTCTATATATTATACGAAGTTACTGAGGATCAAGAGCAAAGCATAGATCGCTGTGTTATGCCAGGGATGCCCTAAGTTCTTGCCAGAAGGCGGTTACATGGGCAGGTGCTTAAAATCAGGTAAACTGTCCAACAGGAACTTAGTGTCAAAGAATACATTCGGCAAGCCTGAGGCCCCAGGCTCATCTTCTGCCTTCTGTAGTCCAAAGGCTTGAGTAGCAGGTGATGAGGAAGGTGCTGGAGAGCTTCTAAGAAATACTGCTGGACTTAACCGGCCAGAAGTCTGAACTAAAATAGGGCAGTCTCCTTTGGTTTTTATGAGATGAATGCGAAGTGGACAATATCGGGGCATGCCTTTTTTTCATGGTGCACAAAACTCCTCTAGGTAGGGTAGCTTATAAATTATCCATACATTTTCATTGTTATACCAACCCAAACAAGCCAATTGTATCAGGCAGGGTAAACAGGTTTCTTCATGTTTTCCCCATTCCCTCACCTAGTTTGCAGGATGCTGGGATTGATGGTTATCAGGCCTGTCTTAGTTCCCACATCTTCAGAGAAATTCATAGGAGAGAGGTTGAACCTGGATTGTGGCAAGAGTAGAAAACAGGCATCAATGTCAGTACTGGCTCTTGCATAGATACTATGTCACTTTTGGCTCTTATTTTCTTTGTATCCCCCCTTGCCCCCTTTCATTTCCCTCCTTCTTTTCATTTTTGTTATATTTGCATCACACAAACACAAGCACACACACATTTACTACCAATTTTATCTTAAGAGAGGGCAACTTCTCCATGAAGAAATGCGCACAAATGATCCCAGGTTCAATCTCTGACACCTCCAAGGAAGGCCAGAAATTTTTTTACCCAAAATCTTGGAAACTGCTGCTATTTAGGGTTGGCAATGCTAAGCTAAATGGGCCAGTTTAGTTATTTATTAAATTTCTACCCCACCCATTATCAGGATGGTTCTAAGGCAACAACCTACATTCTAAGTATAAAAATGTTTCCCATATTCCAAGATGCACAGTCCAGATGCAGGGATTTTTAGGATCCTACCCACTTGGAGTGCTGCCAATTACCATCACCGAACAAGAGAGTTACCTGATGATTAGATCCGCCTGGTCGATTTCCGGCCCACAGCGGCTGTTTCGCAGAATTCCACTATTGCCCACCACCGCACAATGTCTGTACTGAGTGTCCAAGAATGGTGAATGCTAGACTTTGGGAGGGTTGAGGAAGAACAGAATTAAACATGTACTTTAGTTAAAGTGTTAAATATAAATATACAAAAATGGTATTCATTTTTATTCATAACATCATTCAAATTACAGAGGGAAATATATACAGTTATCCTGGAGTTGTGCATTCCGACAAGTTGCAAATACCATTCCGTACTGTCCTTATGCCCTGAATTGAATGTAGTACCTTAGTTTTATCAAAAATCATGATACCTCAATTGTGTAAAACCAATTCTGCACCTCTACAGCAATTTTGATAAAAAGCAGTAGGCAACTTGGTGAGCACATCATGAGAAAGGCGGGGCTGGATGAATCACAAGTTGGAATTAAGATTGGGAGAAATGTCAACAACCTCAGATATGCAGATGATACCACTCTAATGGCAGAAAGTGAAGAGGAACTAAAGAGCCTCTTGATGTGGGTGAAGGAGGAGAGCACAGAAGTTGGCTTAAAACTCAACATTAGGAAAACTAAGATCATGGCATCCAGGCCTCTCACTTCCTGGCAAAGAGATGGGGACGAAATGGAGGTAGTGACAGATTTTATTTTCCTGGGCTTCAAGATCACCGCAGACGGGGACTGCAGCCAAGAAATTAAGAGACGCTTGCTCCTGGGGAGGAAAGCTATGGCAAATCTAGACAGCATACTAAAAAGCAGAGACATCACCCTGCCGACAAAAGTGTGTGTAGTCAAGGCTATGGTTTTCCCAGTTGCAATGTATGGCTGTGAAAGCTGAGTGCCAAAGGATTGAGGCCTTTGAATTGCGGTGCTGGAGGAGACTCCTGCGAGTCCCCTGGATCACAAGGTGATCAAACTGGTCAGTCCTAGAGGAGATCAACCCTGATTGCTCTTTAGAAGGCCAGATCCTGAAGATGAAACTCAAATACTTTGGCCACCTAATGAGAAGGAAGGACTCCCTGGAGAAGAGCCTAATGCTGGGAACAATAGATGGCAAAAGGAGAAGGGGACGGCAGAGGATGAGGTGGCTGGATGGAGTCACTGAAGCAGTCGGCGTGAGCCTAGGTGGACTCTGGGGGATGGTGGAGGACAGGAAGTCCTGGAGGAATGTTGTCCATGGGGTCGCAATGGGTCGGACACGACTTCGTGACTAATAACAACAACAACAACTTGGTGACTTTTAGCTGACAGGGACCCACTTTAAATCATCTGATTCCAAGATCCTCCTAGATCAGGGGCCTCAAACTCAACTTACCTGGGGGCCGCTGGAAGTAGAGTCTGGGTGAGGCTGGGCCACATCAAGTATTCCACCACCAAGGTGGTGGTGGGCCACTCATCCAGAGGCCGGCCCGGGTGCCGTCGGCACTTTGAAGGCTGCAGAGCCCCTCCCCCATGCCCCTCCCGTCTCGGCATTGGCCCGCGGGCCGCGAGTTTGAGACCCCTGTCCTAGATAGAGCTCTGATCCTCAGGAAAGTTATGTGGTACAATAATTTGTTCTATATAATATAGTACATCTCAAAATGGATGCCAAAGAGCTGGGAAATATGCATTAATCAAAGAACTGGAGCACTTTCCCTATGAGGAAAACTTTTCAGAAGCGTATAAAATGCCCACTCCTTCCAGACCCTGCATGAGGCAAACTGCATGCTCAACTAGACAAAGTTTTAGACTGAACCAGCCAGCTCTTAAATTAGCATTGCCTTTGCATAGAAAATATTTACAGTCAATAAGTTGATACCTAACATGGTTCCCATCTTATTATTCTTTTCCATTCTTAGTATTCTACTCTTCATCCAGCATTTCAGGTAAAGACTTCAAAAAGTCAAGGGGCTGCAATTTAGGATTAGATCCATTGGAAAAGTCATGGGTTCACAGTCTGAAGGCTCAATGTAGTTTGAAGGATATGTTGTGCATACCTAGTGCACTTTTACTGTTGGTTGGTTCATTTGCATGCATCATTTGCATGCAGGTATGTACAAAGGCTCATCATACAGAGTCAGGCTGCTGATCACTCCATCAAGCAACAGCTCTCCAGGGGCCCAGGCAGGCGTAATTTCCAGCCCAGCTGTTCAAGATCTTTTGCATCTGTGGACTTCTGTATGCACTGCTGGGCAGAGGTCCTGAGATGTGCCCAGACATAGGGCTCCTCATGCTGCAGCATCGAAGATACTCTGCAGAAATTCTGTCTGTCTTCTAGTGAAAGGATTTTTCACAGCAAGAAAAAAGATGCAATGGTGGGGAAGCATGGGAGGATTATAACAGAGCGATAATGTCTGCATCCTGGCCCCGAATAGGATTCTGGGAATGTAGGTGAGCCATGGGGTGATAAAATCTCAACTGGAACCACCCCAAGACTTGGAGTCAGTAGGACAGCTTTGTATGTTACTAAAGCAAACCTTGCTCTCTGCAAACAATCCACTTCAGGAAGTTTCTGCCAAAGTAATTTTCTATGCCTGATAAAGCCTATTTTATTATTTTAAAATGATGAATGGATCTATTCTGTAGTTTGTTCTGATGTATTGGCAACCTAGTTTCCCTGCATTTGAAATCCGGGCAGGATTCTGCATGTGTTGTACCTCTGAACTACAAATCCTGCTTGTCGCTGACTTCTTTCTTATTCCTACTTAGTTTCCCACCATCTCCAAACACCAACAAACCTGACAGTTTTCACCCACCTCTGGCAGCAGGCCCAGCAGCTGATTGAGCTGGTCTAGGTCCTCTATACATTTGACATTTCTCAGAGCTATGTTTTCTTTGGTTAGGACTAGCCAGAAGGAAGCATTGCAGCATCGCTTCATTTCTGCCCTGCAAGGGAACAGACCGTTGTTTAGGTTTATCGTTGGTAAGGAATTATATTTAACTTGTAAAATAGAATAGCTTTTCAAAAGAAAAGGTAATATTGTTACTGAGATGGAACAATGCATCCCAGTGCAAACTTGACTTCCATGATGAAATCCATGGGTCTAACCTTTTAAAAGCTTCTGTACTGCTTGATCACTTTATAAAGCTTATTAACCATTTCAGTTCCAAATTTTAATTTATTTATGTATTCATCATTTCATTTATTCATTTACTTATCTCAAACTGAAACCTTTTGGTCAGAACTCAATAGTTCAGCAAGCTTTACTGTCTATTCTGTCTTTGCACCAACTTTGGATGATGATAGACAGAAGCTGGGCCTTTGCAGGAATCGTGCTCTATTTGTGGAACTTCTTTATTTAAAAGATGAGGAAAATGCTTTCTTGTGCACTCTCTTGTGTGTGTTGTCGTTGGAGGAGTGTGGGGCACACTTCTTCAGTTAGGCTTTTGAGCTGCAGTTATATTTCAGGTTCAGTATTGTTCTTTGTGTCTGCACTTATGTTTCTGTTCACTTATGTTACAAGCAGGGCTTTTTTTGTCATAGATCACACCGGCACAGTGTAGCAGATCAGCAGCAAACATCTTTAACATAGTGCCTGCAGGCTGCTATTGTGTCTGCGATCTGCTATCTGATAGTGAGAGATAGCTGCAAAGCCACTGAGTTCTGGCACTTTTTTTTTTTTTTTTTTACAAAAAAAGCACTGGTTACAAGTGAACAAATCAAATTGTTATAGACAGCATTGAAAAATGTTTCCTAAAAAGGGGGACACAATTTGTGGACCCCTTCCTTGAAAGGTATACAACAACCCTAATAGTAGCTCTAATAGGGGAACTGTATATATGTCCCTGCAGTTTTGGTTCACTTTTGTAGGAGTCTCTGCAAGCAGGCCAGTAAATGGTTACCTGTATTGGGCCACTGCTGTGGCATTTGGTTCCCAAGGATCTTCTTGCTTGAGTAGTAGATGGTCCAGTATGCCATTTTCTTCCATTTGAAGAGAGCATTTGTCAGTTTTGCTGTCCTGGTCCACACTGTTGTTCATCTTCTGAGACAGAATGTTTCTAGCCACAAAGAAAGAGGCACACACAGAGAGAAACACACTCCAGAAGACCAGTGAGTATTAATTCAACAGTACTTAGCTTTCCAAGTATGACTGTGTGAAACTACAGATGGTCTATAGTACTTTAAACCAAAGCATCAAATCCTACCCATTTTTATGGGTGCTTCCAAATGAAGCTTTTATCTTGCCTCATTTTATTATGACCCATCCATGGAATTCTGCAAGGTCCTAGATGATGATATCATCAACTTGCAGTCCTCCTGTGTTTTCTGCCTGCTTCTTCTGTCTCCCCACCAAAAATCCATTAAGGATGGAATAGTTGGACTATGTCTTTTTATTAACAGCAGTAGGAACTCTCTCTGCAAGCACTCAAGGTTTAAAATCTAGCTTCCACGCTAGGTTTAAAAAAAAGCATTAATTGCAAAAATGCATTCTTAAAAAGCTTTGTAGTAGGTTAGGCAACCTTGGAAGTCAAGCCAACCTGTGGCTTGTCAGAGTGGTTTATAAGCCTGATGTCAGCAACCTTAACACAACTATTGTGGGTTTGGAGAACCCTCAAAGTCACCTTATTTATTTGTTTGTTTGTTTGTTTATAATGTTTATATGCAGTCCCTTATGCATGGCATCTCAAGACGGCTTACAATCATTAACATTAAACGAATCTATAACGATAAATAAATAACATAAAGCCAGTAAAAATACATTAAGTAAAATGCGACTGTTACAATAAAATACTAGTTTTTAAAAGAGCGGTTAAATAAAAAGGTTTTCACCTGGCGCTGAAAAGAGCATAAGCTCGGCGCCAGGTGAACCTCTCTGGGGTGCACATTTCAGAATCTGGGTGCCACCGCAGAGAAGGTCCTACTCCGAGTAGATGTGGTTTAAAGGGTCAAGCAAACCAAGCCATTTAGCCAACAGGACAGTAGCAATATCTTCATAAGGTTTTCTCAGGAAAAGAGAGATCTCATCGCAATTATCACCATTCTGACAGTTCCCAGCCACCACCACTCAACTCCCTAAGGTACCAGGATGTACTTGTTCAGACAGTGGTGTGACTGGGAAGAGGTTGTGCTGGATCCAATTCAACACTCCTGATGAAGAACCATCATTTGTTTGGTTTCTTTTAGGACAAGGGTACTCCTAGCCTGTTCATGCCTATCCTGTTCACCTCGCAAAGCAGTGCAGGCTGTCGGCTCACCTTTTTGGCTTCCATAGCATCCAAGGAAAGAGGCTGACAAGGAAGAGCACACACATGCCCAGCATGTAGTCTTGTTTCCTGTGCCAGAAGCTGAAGGACATATTAAACAATGGCTCACAGCAGTGCTATGGTGTCGGTTCTTCTAGGGCCCCTCTTCCACTACTGCCTGGGCTTGTTACCCTAAGCGTCAACTGTAGCTGAGTTGGGTCAATGCAACTCTTTGAAAAGGAATCCAGGCCTCAACCTCTGTTTCTCTTTCTGGCATCCAAGATGCACCTTAAGGAAATAAAAGAAAATATCAGGAGCTTCTGAAAGGCACCACAAGACCCAGCAGGCACCAGGAATGCAGTGGACACTGTAACACCCTGAACTGTTGATGAACTTCATCACCCCAGAAAGCCACTCAAGATTTTGTTTATATCTGCGAGAACTGCGTTGCTGGATCTAACCAAGAGCCCAGCTAATCCAGCATCCAGCCATTTTGATGCCTGAGATGGAGCAGTGAAGGCTAGAAGGCAGTGTTGAACCCAAGGCTAGAAAAGTTGCTTGGCATTTGAAGAGGGTATCTCACAAGTGCCTCTACCTGGCAGTCAAAAATCAGCAATCATTGCCCTGCTTGTTGGCCACTGTGTGAACAACACAGACCCTTGGCATGGACGACATGGATCCTTGGCGTGATCGATCCTGGCATGTCTTACCCGGGATCAAACAAGTGTTTCTGGCTCCTGAATAAGGTATCTCACAAGAAGCTCCACAACGCAGTTGAAAACCAAATAGTACATGCATTCACACATATATTTCTTCTCTGCTTGTGGGTTTCAGGCTCCTTCTGACTTGGGGTCTGGGGTCCACCCGGGCTTTCCCTAGCTGTTGACCGGCTGACTTTGGTAACACCTGCAATATAAATCTCAGAATGGAGGCATGGCAAAGACAGCTGGCTGGGACTATTAGATGTGGTTTTGTAAATCAAATAAATAAATACATAAATAAACCACGTCTATGTTTCTTTCCTCAAGAACTGGCGAAGGTCACAGAGGGAGAGAAAGGATAGGAGATACGCCAATGGGCAAAATGTCTGGGTGATGAAGCGCTCCAGTGTCTTAATGCAAAACAAGATGGAGTTAGGGAAACTCAGCACTGCAAAGAACGAAAGCCACATATTGCTTTTCCGTCCACACAAGCATTCAGGCTTGTACTTTCCCCACCATACTGTGCAAAATCATGCAAGATTCTTGGAGGGGAGCCCTGTTTGGGCATAGAAAATGGCTCATTCTAGAAGATTCTGTGGAGATTTTGAGGGAGATTTTGAGAAGTCTGGTTTGATTTTGAGAGCCTCCGGCCCTGGGTGCCATATGAATGCAATGAATATATAATAGATAAATAAAACAAGTTTGAAGAGATTCTGAGGAGTTTCAGAGAAATCTGAGGGGATTTTGAGGCAGAGACTGAGGGAGGGATCTGAGGAGATTCTGAGGAGGCTGGGAGAAATCTGAGGGGAGATTATTTGCTTGTTTGTCAGTTTAATTTCTATATGGCCCATTAGTCAAAACAATTCTGTGGGTAGTTCACACAATCAAAATAAACAACAAATCCATAAATGAAACAATAACAATTCAAATGTTACAATTCAGTAAATGTTACAATTCAATTAACAAGAGTAAAAAGCGACAACAAGCAGACAAATAAGCCCAAAACAGCCACATACAGATTGGTTCGAGGTTACAGCAGTAATTTAAAAAAATGATAAAATGTAATACCATTAAAGGATCAAAGTTATTTTAGAAACATCAAATATTTTAAGATGGAAAACGTTAAAATAGTTATAGATTTTGAAGAGGAGATTGAGGGAGAAATCTGAGGGGATTCTGAGGAAGATGAGAGGAAGCGGCTGGAGGACTGAGGATACTCCAAATGGGACTGGGGTGGAAACAAAGCAAAGCACAGAGCAAAGACCTTGAAAAGTCTGAGCACCTGCCACCTTCTGTCCTCACAAAGAGTCTTTTATTTTATTTTGTCATTGCATTGTATGCCACCCCATAGCCCAAGGGCTCTCTGGGCAGCTCACAAGAAACAACAACAGATAAAGGAAACAATACAAGCCAAAACCCACATGAAATCCAACTAATATCAACATTTATATTTATAAAGTTGACAGGATAGCAGCTCCACCCCTGCTGTGTGGGACTCAGCCTAAGACTTGCACCTCCATCTCAGGGCCTTTGGCCAGAGACTAGCCTGATCGACTCTGAATAAATATTTGCTGTTGCCTCTGTCCGTTGTTGCACTCTGCACCTTTCTTTTTTGTTGCTTAAGGACTCAAACACAACTGTACATTTATTGTATTTATTTAGTGTATTTGTATGTCATCTTTAGGAAACCAATTAAAGTAGCATACAAAAATGTCAGAAACGGAATTGCACCATCCCGTTAGAATCCCTGAGTTATTCCTCTGACTTCCTCTCCTCCCAGCTCCATAAACCCAAGCCCTCAGACTGTTTCTCTCTTTCCAGACCCACAGATTCTCTTAAATTGCATGCTCTTTTCCCCACAGCTCCCTTCAGACATGGTGTCCAACACAAGCTTCCAGAGCACAGAGTTTTTTATAAGTAGTGGGTCATGTACACAGTTTCCAGACAGAGATGAGATTCTGAATGGGTGAAAAGGCAAGGGCCATGGTGAATAATACAGAAACATTGAGAAATCATTACAGGCATCAGGAAAAACATCATGAGGCTTGAGTAAAGATAACAAACAAAACAATCAGGAGTTACAGGGGTCTAACAAGTTTAAAATGTTGTGGGTTTTGCAATCAGAGATACAGAATTCCTTAAGACAAAGGTGAACCGCCTAGGTATTTTTACATTGCAAAGGAAGTGCAGCTTCCCCAGTGGCTTTTCTGGTTCTGCAAGGGAATGCATGAATAATGGGGCCCAGGGACTAACTGCTTTTCTCAGGTCTGTGGAGCTGGGCAAAAAGTTCTACTCCCTTTGCATGAGAGGAGCACCAGATTTTATATTAAAGGATGTGCAAAAGCATAATTTTTTATTTAAGGATTTATTTGGACTTTCCCAACAGTTGGAGAAGGTAACTTGTCCTCCAGTGCCAGTTGTTTTGCTCATCATAATGCTAGCAGATTCCAGCTAGGAGTGGTTCTCCACTTTTCCAGAAAGCAGCCCACTACTTCCTCTCCTGTGCTACAAGCTGGTCTCCCAAAAAGCATGGAGCTTCCCAGGAAGTAACTACACACATATGGCAAATCTGCAAACTTCTGCTTAGTTAAAGGATCCAAAATAAGGCAGAAAGTGTTTGCCTTTCTCACCCCACCAATTTTTCTAGTCACTAAGTGAAGCGCTTCAAATTGTGCTTCTCTGTGTGGCAAGGCACTCTGGGTTGCAGCACCTACCCTGGTTCGTTTTCCTTGGAAGCAGGTCAGAGGAGGTATATTGGTGTTTTGAAGTACTTGTACTGAACTATATTTATCAAGATGTGCTCCAAGAGAAGGAATTCCATTTTTAAGAAACTCCAGCATGATGGTGCCTCATACATGGGAATGTCCTCAGGATATATCCGATCCTGGCCTGTTGGTCTATGGTTCAGAAGATTCTCCCTGTCCAACACACATTTCTTATTGACACTTGCCAAGTTGTAACTGAAGCACACCCTGGGCGTACATGCTCAGATAATGTGAGAATTCACTGGGCATGGCATGGATACCAGCCTTGGGCAACATATTATCATAGTAATGATGAGGAATGGGCTGGTCATCTAGGTCATGCGCAAAAGGCCAGAAGCCATAGAGGGTGATGCGCTCACAGAACTCCAAAGCGACATTGACGAACATGAAACCAGAGGAAAGGCGCTGTGGATGAAAGCCTTTTTCCTTCCAGTGGTTACTTAGGGTGGCCAGGTAGTGTGGGTTGAGGAAGAACATCTGCTGAGGCCAGCCAAAGTCCTCCATGGTGTACAAAGCACGGTAGCTGAGAGTGCTGTGGCCCACAAAAGAGAAAGCTGGAATGAGGAAGAGGGCATCTCTGTAGGGGCGGAGTGCATCTGCAAAAGGTTTCCTCCGGGCCTGCAAGTTCTTGAATCTGCAGGAAGAGCAAAAGGAGAGGACAACCAAGCTTAGTACATTTACCAAAGTTGAGGAACCTTTGGGCCTGAGGAATTTTTTACTAGAACATGGAGGTTCACCATGCAGAGGAGGGTAAAGGCTCTGCCAGCTTCAGTACCTGGAAACTATGATCTGCATCTGTGGTTCTCTTCCAACGTTTACCTCCAAGCAAGGCCTGGAAAGAGGCAACAAGGAGGAAGGCCTTCTCAGTGGTGGCCCTCCAATTATGGAATAGCATCCCCAATGGTGACTGCCTGGTACCAATACTGTCACCTTATTGGTATCAGGTTAAAACTACCCTCTACTCCCAGGCATTTAATAGCATATGATAGGATATGTTCACTTTTTTTTAACAAATCTAGTTCTAATTTAAATTTTATATATTGGAATTTTACATAGTGTTTTGTTATATTTGTACTGTATCTATTTTTATTATTGTATTTATGATGAATTGTTGCAAACCACCTACAACAGACCTTTGACTTACTAAACTGTCCTTACTTAAAATGTATCCTGTGTGCACCCACACTTTTCCTTGGTTTTTCAGACCAAAATCCAGATTGGGAACATGGAATGAATGGGACCAGCCAGGAGCTCTATGGCACCTTAAACATTCCCCAGCTAATTGAATATGGCAAGGTAAACAAACACTTCCAAGTAGGAACAATTGTTTTTAGTTTATAAATTAAACATGCTAACTAAAACAAGGCAACTGGATGAGACAAGGTATGCAAATTTCTGTATTTCCTGTACCACATTCCTTACCTCAACTGAAGGATGCTGGGGTTGATTGTAATCAGGCTTGTCTTGGTTCCCACATCTTCAGAGAAATTCATGGGAGCCATATTGAACCTGGGTTTGGAAAAGGGTAGAAAATAGATGTTGTTAACGGCTTCCTTCTTGCCACTTTCTTTGAATGTGAATCTTCATCTGTGTTAAATTGCTTTTGGTTCAGTTTTGTTCCCAGAAGCATCTACATGGTGAGACAACATTAGTGTTTATCCTGCATTTCTTTTTGCAGTCAACTGCCTATTAACCAAGATCATAAATTGGCAATCATTCTTGCTACAAATAAGAAACCTGCAATCAAAACCCCTGCCCTGATGAAGAACAGAAACCGAGTGATTCTAGGCTTATTCTGGAATGCCAAGACTACAGATTAGCAGGAACAGATTACATGAGCAGAAATCCTGAAGATATTCTCCAATAAAGAAACAAAGAGGAAATGACTAATTAAAAGACTTAATTCCCCAGATAAAGGGGGAAAGATGACGTTTGTAGAACATTTTATGAGTTCAGCAATGAGCCAGCCAGTCAGGCAAGACTCTGATATGTTTCTTCAGATCTAAGCTCCCTTTTTGCAAAGCTGCTTTGTGGAAGTACTGTGGATTCTGCTTCCAAGTGGTGCCTGAGTAGTTCTAAATGGCTCAAGTTGTCAGCTGGGTCAATGACTGTATGAAAAACTGTAGAGGAATCTTACATAAACTGCTCTGAGCTTCCCAAAGGAATCTAAAACAATATGCAGCCAATAAAATTTCCCCAACATCAGCTTTAGAAAAGCCACGTAAGCCAGTGGCCGAATACCTGTGAAAGACCCCAGCTTTAATCCCTTGCATATCCAGTTAAATGACTGTAGACAGCAAAGCTGGGAATTACTTCTCTCTGCACAAGGAGTAGACAATATTGAGCAAAATGTATGCTTGAAAAGGCCTTCTTGAATGCCTTGGACAGCTGCTGCCAGACACTGTTGACAATAGAGGACTTTTAAGGACAGATGGCCTGATTCAGTATAAGCCAGCAGGCTATGTTCCATCTTAAGGGCACTTCCACATTGATGGACCCAAAATTACCTAAGATCCACCCCTCCTACCTAAAGTGCCTGCAATCACACTCAAAGAAAGAAAATTACCTGACTACTAGATCCGCTTGGTCGATCTCATGCCCACAGTGACTGTTTCGTAGGATTCCTCCATTGCCCACCACTGCACAATGCCCATAATGAGTGTCTGAGAAGGGTAGTCTCTAGATGTGGGGAGAGAGGGAACAGTCTGAAGTACATTTATTTAAAAAAAATCTTTATACGTGAATATGTATGCAGGAAGCTCTCTTCTACAGACAGATTTATTTAGCCAAGTAGATTGCAACAGGGTCTCCGACAGGGGTCTTTCCCTCCGGCTACCCATCATCCTTTATTTTCCAGTGGCAAGGACTAAACCTGAGGCCTTCCACGTATCAGGCATGAGTAAGGTGACCTACTTTACAAAAGGCAATACTCTATTTGAAGGGGTGCCGAAGGACGTTCTCTGTTTGACGTCTGGTTTAAAACTAGAGAATCCCTAGGAAGAAGAGCCCAGGCCTTCAAGTTGCCCATCAGTAGGTAATACTTCGAGAGCAGACTACACAGGCAAAATCTTGGTCAGCCTTCCCCAGTATGGTGAGATCTATCGCATGACAATTTAAATTATAGCAATTATTTCCAAATTTGAATCTATAGATTGTGTGCATTTTTTCCACAGACCTGCATCTTCTTTTGTCATCTTCTTCAGTGATGCAGTTTCTTTTTTGGGGCCTTCTCTAAATGGCCAACCTAGCACGTGCCATACCACCGAGCCAAGGCCCTTGCTCTCTCGGTTGCAGCTCCTTTCCTGCCCATTTGCCCACCACCACCAAACAAAAATAAATACATTTCCCCACCTTTGGCAGCAGGTCAAACAGAACAGCATCCACGGACAACTTCCTGTTTTTGTTCCCATCAAAGATGATGCTTGATCCCAGAGGTGCATTTTCCTTAGTTAACACTAATGAAGAGGAAGCATTACAACATCGCCTTAGTTCTGCCCTGCATAAGGAAGGGAATGGGGTTAGAATTTCTCTGGGAAAGATAGTTTTTTCTTCCAAAAGCTACAACAAAAGCCAAGAATCTTCCAAATATGACCTCTGGAAATCCTGGAAAGACACAATGTTCCTTCTTCTCCCTTGAAAGCTATAATTGCCACAGATTACATTCCAGGGTGGCCAATTCACTCAACAGAAGAGCCACATATGGTAAATGTCAGATATGTCAAAGCCGCAAGTGGGTACTTGCAGATGGCGACAGTGGGTGGCAAGAAAGGAGCAACAAACAGTGAAGCGCAAAATTAACTCAAAGCGTCACATGCAAGTCCCAAGCCTCGGTTTGGCCACCCATGATATAAACACTCGAGGTTTTCTGCAGTTCACATCACTGAAGCAGAAGCTGTCCCTGTGATTGCAATCCATCTTCACAGGTGTCTGTCCAGGCAGGTGAGTGAATGGCATTACCTGTATTGGGCCACTGCGGTAACATCTGGTTCCCAAGGACATTCCTGCAGGAGTAGCAGATGCTCCAGGATCCTCTTATCCTCTGTTTGGATATTCCCCTTTTTGGCCATAAGATCCTGTTTCTCATTGCTGATTGTCTTGTGAAGCTGGACACTGCTCGCAACAGGAGAAGGAAAGAGAGATGGCAAAAGGCCATTTAGCTTTTTAAAATGAGAGAGTTCTCCTCTAGCTATATGTGTAACTATATAATATAGTTAAATATACAGATGGCCCTCCAATATGTATATGCACACACACCCCTACACTTAACAGTGCAGCTGCTCAGGCCAGAGCTATTCAGTCACTTTGACCAACTTTAATCCATGAAACCTTTTCTTGTTGCAATCACAGAATCACAGGTTTGGAAGAATGTAAGAAGTTGCCCCAATGGGAAACCCAGAAGAGCCTTCCCGCTCACGTTTCCCAGTGACTGGTGTTCACCGGCATATTGGCTCTCATACCAGGGGCAGCATATAGTCTTGAGGTCTGGGAAGCTGAAGACAGTCTTCCAAATCCAGCCCAAACCTATCACTAAACACCTGGGTAGGGCCAAAATGGTAAAAGAGTGTCTGAATTTCATATACTGAGTCTAGAAGGTCACCAAACCTTTGCACTCGAGATCTCCAGCATGTATTTCTAGGAGACAGCCCCACCTTCACCAAACACCTTCACCAAACATCATTACTTACCTTCCTGAGAAGGTCTTCATTTTCAGTAACTGTCTCGGTTCCCAGCATTTTGCTCGTAATCTAGCCTGCTTTCTGTAAAAGTCACACACAGGACTGTGATTAATTAAAGAGATCTTTTTCATTGATATGCAACTCTTCAGGTTCTGGCGACAGTGCAACCCATTAATTCTTCATTTCCCTGGTATAACCTGTTCCAACCAGCTGCATCTGACGTTTTTAAAGATCTGTGCATGGTCCACAGTTCTTCCTGAGCAGAGAAAATGCATATTTTCTGTGGAATATGTTTCTGTTGGATTGTTTCCTGGCCCTTGAGTTTCACTTTATTAGATATGTTTACCATCAGACCAGCACTCAAACTTTCCCTAATAAATCATGGTCTTTCAAGGGGCGGGGGGTGCACTCCTATCCAGAACAGGATGAGTAAGCAGCTTCCAAACAAAAAGAAAACTATCCATCGAAAATATCTCAGTCTTCTCTGGGCTGAGCTTCAGTTTGTTAGCCTTCATCCAGTTCAGAGGTGCAGTCAAGCACCAGTTCAACATACTCACAGCCTCAGCTGCTGGAGATGAAAAGGAGAAATGGAGCTGTCATCACTTTTCTGAGGACAATGCACTCCAAAACTCCATTCAGTGGTTTTGTGTAAGTAGCCTGGGGGACAAGACCAACCCCTTGAGCAAACCTAGGGCTGGAATGAAATCTAATGGAATCCAACCCTCTAGCATTTGCAGATTTCTTCTTGTGCTTGGAAAGCGAAGGATACCAGGATCAGTGGTATCCAAAGCTGTTGGTAGATCCAGGAGTATGAACAGAATTGCACACACACCTCACTACCAACAGTCTCCGTACAGGATGATGTTTCTGTACCAAAACCAGGCCCGGACCTCAACCAAAATGGATCTAGATAATCAGTCTCATCCAAGATTGCCTAGAACTAGTTGGCCACCATCCATTCAAAGACTTTGTCTAGGAAGGGAACACTCACCATCAACTTAAATTTGCTTGGATTTTCTGTGTTTGTTCAGGAGTGGCCTCACCCTCGCCTCTTTAAGGCAGCATGGGCCACCTTCTCTTATGAAGAGGCACTGAGCCCTTCCCTGGTCCTCCAGGTTCTTCCCCCAATGTTAGCTTGTATAATCCAAAAGGTCCACATATGCACATAGTTGAACGAACTTGTCCAAGCATTTTGTCAATATCTTTGAGCTATACCAACTGAAAATCATCTCTTGTAAGCCATCCCAAGACATCAGAGGTGGATGGGTTAGAAAAGCTTTAAATAAACAAATAAATTGTTCAAGGAAACTTGACCAGGCTGTGCCCTGGGTACCTTGGCTGATTTGAACTGCCATAAGATTGGAGTCTAAAGTTCCAGCAGGTGCACCAAAAGCCCAAGCAACCAACCAGTCCCGGTCTTACTTTCTCTGTTATGGCTTGGGCTAAGTGGTCTGTGATGTGATGGCTGCAGACAAGAGCCATCTCTTTAGCAAAGACCTTCAGGAAAAAGCAGTAACTCTGAAAGGGCTGTGACAAAATGTGACCAAACTGTTGGGTGGGGGCAGAAACAAAACACCAGGTGGGGGTGGAACTCTTGACAGTATTCTGCACTGGACCATTTAGTTGCCTGCCCCATGTTTTCCTGAAAATACAAGAATTCCGGGAGAATTCTGAGTGCCAGGAAAGCAAAGGGACCTCCTGCTACCTTTTCTGATTTTTTCTAGAAAACACATTCTCCCTGAAAAAAAAGAGAAAAGTCATACTGGAGATGTTTAGCTTTTCTCCTCAGAAATGTAAAATTACTAATTTAAAAATGGGAGCAGTGTTTTGTTTTCAGTGTCTATATTTTACATCCCCTACCATGCAATTTTCCATAACAGTTCAAACTTTGGATCATTTTGAAAAAACATATTACCGTGTTCCAAGGAGTAAAATCCTGCCCAGATTTCAAATGCAGGGAAACTATAGGTTACTAATACAGTGGAACAAACAACAAAATAGACCCATGCATCACCTTAAAATAATAAAATAAGCTTTATCAGGCATAGAAAATTACTTCCTGAACTGGATTGCTTGCAAAGAGCAAGGTTTGCTTTAGCAACATATAAAACTGTCACACTGACTCCAAGTCTTGGGGTGATTCCAGATGAGATTTTATCAACACATAGCCCTGCCACATTCCCAGAATCTTATTTGGGAACAGGGTGCAGACTCTATTATAATCTTGGGTGCAGGTCACTCTATTATAATCCTCCCATGTGTGTCTATCAAGCCGGATGAAATTTTATTGGCTGAGGGAAAAACTCAGGACAGAGCGCTTGATCAGCATGTAGAAAACACAGTAATTGTAAGTTATCTTGGAGACCCTCTTCGGACTGACTCATAACTTTTTAAATAAATGCACTTTATAAATAAAGGGAAAGCACCCAAGTTCAATTCTGGACAGAGCTCTGCCCTCAGCCAATTAGATTTCCTCTTCAGGCTTGATTTGGTGTAAGGCAGCTTTATGGTCCTGAGATGTGCCCAGACATAGGGCTCCTCATACTGCAATGTTGAAGATACCCTGCAGAAATTCTGTCTGTCTTCTAGTGAAAGGATTTTTCACAGCAAGAAACAAGATGCAATGGTGGGGAAGCATGGGAGGATTATAACAGAGTGATAATGTCTGCATCCTGGCCCCAAATAGGATTCTGGGAATGTGGGTGGGCCATCGGGTGATAAAATCTCAACTGGAACCACCCCAAGACTTGGAGTCAGTAGGACAGCTTTGTATGTTACTAAAGCAAACCTTGCTCTCTGCAAACAATCCACTTTAAGAAGTAAAGTATTTTCTATGTCTGATAAAGCCTGTTTTATTATTTTAATGTGTAGGAGTTCACACTTTGGACCTTTTTGAAGAACACATTTCTGTGTGCCAAGGAGTAGAATCCTGCCCAAATTTCAAATGCAGGGAAGCTATAGGTTATCAATACATCAGAACATACAACGGAATAGACCCTCTCTGCTGGAAAGCACTACATGGGCTGCATGATCTGACTCCCTACAAAGCAGATTCATGCGTTCATATTCAGGGTAGGACTCTGCATCAGCCAACTCATTCCAGTGGCTGAAAGGCTGATGTCGGAACATAGACTCTCAGTCATCCACTTCGGCTCAAGCCTCCTACATTTGCAATAAAGTCAAGGTGATAATGATGATGTAGCTTTCAGGATCATGTAAGGGTTATTATGAGATAAAGCAAAATCACTCTATACATTTGAAAGTAGGATGAAGGAGAATTTGATCATTTTGCAAGCTAACATGAACATACTGAATTTTCTACTTTTGAACTAATACACAAACCAAAATTCAGTTATCTTTCAAAATTCTCACTCCTCAGGATTTTGCAAAGAAGTCTCCAATTTGAAAAATGTAGGCAAAAATAATTTTATTAGGGGAAAGTCCATAGAATGCACAGATCAAAATGAAGTTAAAATTCATTAGATTAGGCAAGAAAGTGTATATTCAGCAGAGTTGTGTGTGTGTGTGTGTGTATGCATGCATGCATGCATGCATGCATGCATGCATATGTGTGTGTGGGGGGGGGAAATGCTCACAAAAATGCAAACTTGGGAACAACCCCCCCCCCATACACACACACAAAGTTCAGGACAATCCAAGCTTAGAGACTGGAAAACAATAGATTCATTCATCCTTAAGCCTTTGCAGAGATACAAAATAAGAATACCAACAAATATCTCCTAGTTTAGCAGTCCCCTTCATCCAAAATGAAACAATATCATTCACCTGTCTGCTCTCTGTAACAGTGATAGAGTGAGGCTGACAATGAAGATCACACAGAAGGCCAGCACTAAATTCCATTTTCCAAACCGCAATTTGAAGGACGCAGCATAGCTGAACCTCATTATAACCCAGCTCTTCTTGTGGCCTCCTTCTTTTGAGGTTTCTTCAGGTGTGAACTATGTCATTACCATAGACACTGCCACTAAAATGCATCAATCATTCTTGAGATGGGTTGAAAAGCTTCCTGAACATGCAGCCACTCCCATTTTGCTATGTAAGGTCATAAAGTCACTAGGTCTTCCTCTCCATAAAGGTACACAGGTGTTTTTCTTTCCTACATCTGCAAATTCAGAAGCCCTCAGCTCAAGAGGAGAGTTGTTGGTTTCATCACCAAAGGAATATGCTTGGCTCCATTCCCGTTAGCCTTCTTGTTAGATCTGACCATCCATTCAACCTGTCCAGTATTTTGTCTCCAATGGTGAATGGCTAGATTTCCCATAGAAAAGCTTGCCGAAGACAGCCATTCCTTGGGATTACTTTTCCCTGGGATTTGCCAACCCAAAATATGCTAGCCACACAGAGAACAATACGTGTTGCATTTAAGAATAACTGACAGCCAGAGTCTTAGATTTCATTCCATGATATTAGGTTTCCTCTACCAATGGGGTACAATAAATATGAAAGTGATGAAGTCAAGCTTCATTCCAGGGGTTCTAAAAAGGAACTGTGCTGTCTGTGGCTGCATAAAATAAACTGGGCCAGTCCTCTCTTGAGGCTGTAGACTGGACGAGCAGCAAATTATACGCTGCTTTTCCCTCCAAAGGGGACCCCAGGGCATTACTCCCAGAAGTCCCACTGGCTGCTCTCTCATGGCCACAGGAAGAGTGTGGAGCTGGCAAGACCCTGGATCTTTAGCCCATCCAGGGGCACAAAGCAAGCGGAGAGCCCCCAACCCTATCTGTGAGAAATGCTACAGCGGGAGAGCCACTGCCATGGATGTCTGGAGCAGGAATCCACCCTGTGATTTACTCAGGGTGTTTCAGTGGGAGGTGGACTCTCTGAAGAGCATTTTCCTGGGACACCTCTCCACAATGCCTGGCCCTCAAGAAGGGCTTCCTCAGACCTGGGAATCTGGGCCTGGCCAACTCTCTGAAACAGGTCTCACCCCTTTCCCTTACCCTTCTCCAGAAGACTTAGGCAAAACCTTACAAATGCAGTCCTTTATTAGAACTTTACAGTTGACAAA